ATGTCAACTAGCCACACCCACCCTGGCCATGCCTATCCTGGCCATGCTTTTCCCAGCCATGCCCTCCCTGATGTGGTCCTCAATGAAATTGAATTTGACACCCATGGTATAGAGTGAAAGGATCAAGGTGTTGGGTTAGTACTAAGAAATGTAGGTTCAGGTTCATAATTCACCTTGAAACTCACTGTCTGATTTTGGACAAGTCACATTTTCTTGTCCCAAATTTGTCAAACAATTATAAAATTATGGAAATCTCTCATGAACACTACCTTGACTATTCCTAGAGAAAAAGTGGAGTATAAATGCAACCAAGAAAAAAATAAGGGGAGATGATATTTTTTTATAAAATAGAGAAATGTTTTCATGGGATATCTTAAAATGATTTATTTATCAATTAAAATGTCAAGTATCTAATACTTATTTTGATAATCGATAGTTTTTCATTGATACTTCTGAAATCACTTACATTTTAGAGAAATACACATATTAGCCCTAAAAAAACTATGTTTTTCACAGAAGATATACATTTCTTTTATAATTGGAACTTGCTAAACAATAGAACTATGAACTATTAATGAATGGCCATTTTACGTTTTGATTAATGAATTTACTGAGAGCGCTTGTTAGGACTATATTTTCTTTCTAAACAAAATAATAAATAAATTAAATTAATTCAGCATCGATGTATACTTTAATTGTTAATATCTAAGTGTAATAAAAATGGTAGTCAAAGTTATAAGACCGTAGGGTTCATGTAATGTGATCTTCCAATTAATGACAGAGAGTGGAGAGCAGCTCTTTATAATAGTTCATTGGATGTACTTTTAGACTTGTAACCCTATGCTAAAAATAGTTTAATTCAAACTTTACAAATGATTGTCACTTTATTAGATTAACACAATTTATATGTTAAAATACAAAATGCAGAATAACAGAGTTGGAAGAGACCTTGTACTGTAGGTGATTTAGTCCAATTAGTATATTATTAATATTTAGTATTATTAATGTTAGATTGGATTGCTCTGTTATTTCACCTAGGAAGATTTTTTTGAAATCAAGTGATTTACACACACACACACACACACACACTTTGTGAGATTAAATTGTGACTAAAGTCACATTAAACCCACATTTTATTTTGAATCTAAGGTTCCTAAAGTTGGTGCTTACCAAGAAAGCTTTTATATCATTAATTATTATGCGTTTGAATCTCAAGTCATGCTATAATTATATATATACATACACACATACACAACACATTCAGACTTCTAGAAAACACTCTGGACAACTCTGGTATCTCTAGACAACTGCATAACTGGATAGAAGCATTCCTGTCAAACAGACAACAAATGGTCAAAACTGGGAGTGTCCTATCAAATTCTGTATCTGTCAATAGTGGTGTCCCCCAAGGCAGTGTTCTAGGACCAACTCTCTTCATACTCTACATAAATGACCTCTGTGATCATATTAAGAGCAACAGTGTTCTTTTCGCTGATGATGTAAAGCTGTTCAATACCACAAACAATACTACTACCCTTCGAAAAGATCTTGACTATGTATCAGAATGGTCAAACAAATGGCAACTTCAAATCTCAACAAATAAATGCTCTGTCTTACATATTGGCAAAAAAAAATCAGAAAATAAAATATAAACTGAATAGTCAAGACCTTGTTGATGATCCAAGCTCTGTAAAGGACCTTGGAATACTCATCTCTAATGATCTAAGTGCTAGAACCCACTGTAACTACATAGTCAAAAAGGCATTAAGAGTTGTTAACATAATCCTAGGTAGCTTTTTCTCTGGTAACATCACACTACTAATTAGAGCATTCAAAACATTTGCTAGACCAATACTCGAATACAGCTCATCAGTCTGGAACCCACATTACATATCTGATATTAACATAGTTGAGAAAGTCCAGAAATATTTCACAAGAAGAGTTCTCCACTCCTCTACTCATAGAATACCTTATGTCACCAGACTTGAAATTCTAGACCTAGAAAACCTTGAATTACGCCATCTTCGGTCTGATCTAAGTATAGTGTATAAAATCATACATTGCAATGACTTACCTGTCAATGAATACTTCAGCTTCAACCATAACAACACAAAAGCAAACAATAGATACAAACTCAAGGTTAACCACACCAAACTTGATTGCAGGAAATACGACTTCAGCAACAGAGTGGTCAATGTCTGGAATACTCTACCTGACTCTGTGGTTCCTTCCCCAAACCCCAAAAACTTTAACCTTAGACTGTCTACTATTGACCTCACTCCTTTCCTAAGAGGTCTGCAGGGGGTGTGCATAAGCGCACCAATGTGCCTACCGTCCCTGTCCTATTGTTTCTTTTTATTTTTCTTAAATGTACCCATTTCATGTATTCGTAACTATGTGTACACTTATACCTATTATCTTGTAAGCGATTGACAAATCAAAATAAATAAATAAATAAAATAAAAATAAAACACTGTATGTTAATCTCCCAATAGACAATTGTATAGTATATTATTATGCCTAAGAAGTCTAATATCAATTTTAAATGCAACTTTAATGTGTTTCAAAGATTTATTTCACGTTAACAGATTGAATTGTTGGCAAAATCAAAAGGGGGAAAATTGAAGTTTTGTATCTTTCCCTTCAATAAGTCTGAATAAAAAAATACCATGAGAACCTTTATTACAGTCAGTAAAAGCTAGTTTCCCCATGGTTCACTTTAATAGCAAAATGAACGACATCTGTACTTCAAACAAACATTTTCAGGACTCTGATAAGATTGTGTGTGAGATTAGCACTTCATATTGGGAAAATTTTTACTTCAGTACATTCTGTGATGAAAGAACATTTCAAAGCTTTTAATACATAAAGATCATGTACTTAACATTCATTCATTTGTCAAGCAAAGTGACAAACATATAATTACAGCCAGTTTTGTAGAAAGGGCTCTCTAGTAGAGGCAGGATACTTAAAATTGTAATTTATAAATATATTAGAGATTTGTAAAGCGAGCAAACTATCAAAGCTGATGGATCCTGCAAGTACATTGGGGAACTTCCCAATTGTCCAAAACTGCTAACGAGAAACCTATGTTGTTGTTTTAGCCTTTTTACACTGGCACTGGATTTGTGTATGAGATGGGCAATGATATAAGTTAATGCCTCCCCAACTTGTTTTACATTAGGGATTGGTTTCGTGAAAACTATTTTTTCCACGGACTGTGAGGGAAATGGTTTCAGTTTTGCTTGCCTGCTGCTCACCTCCAACTATGCCAGTCCCTAACCAGTCCCTAAGAGATCATGGACCAGTGCTGGTCCGGGATTGGGGACCTTGTTGTAAGTCAATTAAATAAGTAAAATAAAAATAACCCCATGGCTATTGACAGTTTTTTAAAAAAAATCTGTAATAATTCAACTAGGCTATAAATTAATACATTTTTAATCTCAAAGATACCAAAAAGTTATTCTTCGTTTATATGGTAACTAATTAATTCTACAATTATCTGTTCAACGATTAATTTCTTTAAGATGCTGAGATAGCAATAAGTGGACTTATAGTTTATCTTGAGATAGTCACTATGAGATATTGACATTGTAAACAGGGAAAATGTTGCATCTATGACATTTCTGTGCTTGGAATATGATTTTGCCTTGTCCATTCTACCTAAACAGAGAAACGACAAATACTGACCTAAATAGAAGTGGGAGATTGGTGGGTGCTTGCCTCATATTATGTGTTATCACACGCTGTCCACAAAGGTTAACATTTTTGGAAGACACTTTCCATTCTTACAACATTTTAAATTTATTTCATTCTGATTTTAATGGAATGTTTGCAATACAGAGACAAGAATCTGTATATACAGATTTAAGGGTTCAGATTTAGGCAGGAGTGGGATTCTACCGGTTCAGAACCGGTTGTTATGATTCCCGGAAGTTCGGTAAAATGGGCCCCTGGCTGGCCCCACCCCTCTCCTCCCGCTCTTCCGTTCCCTGCCCAGTCAGTCCTTATTGCGTATGCATGACATCGCACACATGCACAACAATCGCTGACAGTATTCCGCTGCTCGCCCCGCTCTATCCAGTCATCCTTATAGCGCATGTGCGCTACATCGCTTCCTGCCTTTTCCCACCCACCACCATCACTGGCTTGCAGCAGCAGCATCAGGAGCAGCAGCAGAAGGAGGAAGCAATTTCTAAAAAAATAACATTAGTGCCACCAATCATTAAATTAAATCCTGTGAGGGAACTTTACTTTTTAAATTTTCTGTAGAATCAGTTGGAATGAGTTAAACCTTTGACATAGCTGGAATATATGGTATATTTACAATAAATTAGAACTTCTGTCTTCTGAGATAGCAAAAACAATGCAAATAAGAAACTAAGACAATTGGTATGATTAATAGTCATGTTTTAGCAAATGGCCCCTTCATTCAATAATACTTTTCAGATTTACAGTCTGCATTTTAAACATTTGCCATAAAAGTTGGTGGTGTGTCTGACATCCACTAACAAACAACTAAGTAATATAAAAAACTGAAATTCTAAGACTAAATTTCATCTAATAAATTATCTTGGGAACTAAAATACTGTGACAGGAAAATATAATATTATCAGGTCTGAGTTATTTTAATAAGAGTCATCTCCTACAGGAAGGTCCTTATAGCTAATTTATTGTTTATATCCTGACTAGTGATACTTCAAATTAGTTTCATATATGGATAGAAAATGACTGGTCCTTATCCAAAATGTATTTCGCTAGGCTTCAGAGGTTGGTAAGGAGAAATCAGTGCTCTTACCTTTTGTGGCTTATATATTTTGAATTACTTATTTAGACTTTAATCCATAATAATAAACCCTACAGTGATCGTATTGTTAATATTTAATTTTCTTAAATATTTCTGAATGAAACCAAGAGAACATACAAAATAATCTTCTGAAATGATGTATATTGTTATATATCCTTTCTTGTACATAACATGAAAATGAATTATTACATACGGGTTTTCCGTGCAGAATCCTCTACAAAAAGGGAAGAGATGTCTTCATCAACTCCTACTTCATTCTTTGCAATACAAGTATATGCTCCTGTATCTTCATAACGTACATTGCTAATGTGGACTTCGCTGCCATTTGCTGTACACAGAATTAAAAATATAAATAGATGTTAGTTTGATTTTAATCATGTTACTGGGGTTAAAAAAATTAAGTGTATGGTGGGTGTTTTTTTTTGCATAGTCCAATCCGTTTATATTGTTTGCTCTTTCTTATATAGGTGGCATTCACTTAACCACAACTACAACTGGGACTGGTAACTCCATCACCAAGCAATTCAGTCATAAAAAGATACGTCACAACTTTTGATATCAGTCCAACATTTTCAGCTGCAATCGTTAAGCAAATCACCATGGGTCATTCAGAACAAAGCTACTGACCACAACTTGTATCTACCTGCCAGCTTGTCCATTGACTTTGCTTGTCAGAAGCTGATTGTGAAAGTTGCAAATGGATTGCAAATGCACTGTTTGCCAAGGACTTGAATTGTGATCATGTGGCTGTGGGCATGCTATGATAGCCAGAATCTTGAAGACTGATTGTAAGTTTCCTTTTTTAGCGCATGATAAGTTAGAACGATTACTGAACTAGTACTTACTAAGGATTGCTGTATTTTATTTTGAATAATATAAAGTATGCCCACAATATGTGGTTTGTTAGTGAAAACTCACTTTCTCTTACTATTAGAATTTGGGAATAAAAATAAATACTATATCAATCCCAACTTCATATTTCAACATAATATTTATAACCCAGGTTTATAGAAATAAAGCTGAATTCTTCTATTGATTTCTAATGGAAAGTGTGGGCAGTGTCCCTCAGTTGTGACTTACTGCCTCAATCAAACCACCCATTTCAGATAATGACACCAATTATTGTTGTTTTCAAAGATTTAAATAAACGGCAACTGTTTAGATAAACTGTTCTAACTACTACTGTCAAAATTTTCTAATCCTCACATTTAAATGGAAATGCATAGCACCTTTGGGCTACTGAGTGATCAGCAGTTTCATGTAGATATTGAAAGTGAATGATGAGAGACCCAAGCCCTGAACATAAAATAGGTCTAGGTTTGGACCATTGGTGGAATTCAATTTTTTTTTGACTACCGGTTCTGTGGGCATGGCTTGGTGGGCATGGCAGGGGAAGGATATTGTAAAATCTCCAGTCAGAGGTAGAATTTGCCAGTTCTCTGAACTACTCAAAATTTCCGCTACTGGTTCTCCAGAACTGGTCAGAACCTGCTGAATACCACCTCTGTTTTGGACCTGTCTCCATCAACTTATACCAACTGGAACTTTAGATGAAATACTGCAATATGGTATGTCACCAAAATATATGTCTTTTTGAAAGTAACAAATTATGTTATAAAAGATGTTTCTTTACCTTGAAGAGTTAACTGTTTGGATAACTTTGGAGTTATATCAATTCCATTCTTCAACCAACCAAGCACTGGATTGGGAATACCCTCAGCGTGGCATCGAAGACTAGCTGTCACTCCTGGCTCCCTAGCTTGACTTTCAGGGAAGACTCTTATGACGGGTGGAACTGTATAAGAAAAAAAAGTACATCAAATGCAGTTTATGAGCAGAAATATAAATATTTCCTTCAATAATAAATGATAAGAACCATTTTCATATATTATGTCAAAGAAAAGAGCAATGGAATATGATAATTAAACCTACATAGCTCTGTCAAACAGTCAGATATATGATTTTTAGGTTTGCAAATAAGTCTTTATTTGATTCAGATCAGAGATTCATGAGTCACGTTTTTGATTGAGAAGCAAACTTTCTTGGTGTGAGTTCAGACTGGGAAAAGTTATCGTTTGAATATAAATAGCTATGTACTGCACTTACTTCATTTTGGGACAGAATGTGATAAAAATAGCAATGCATATGTATGAGTTTCAGTTAAATATGTCTAAAAGATTCATAACAGTACTTTTAATACATAAACTCTGTATCTGATAGGGAGAGCTAGCAAAAATGAGGAAGAAATAACACAGCAGTCCTCAAATTACAAGGAGAGCCTAAATGGTGCTCAATTGGAAATTTCTTACTACTACTTTACTAAACTATTAAAAAAAATAAGAATTTACTCCTCCTTTTATGACTTTAAGAATTACCACTGACATAACTCCTGTGGGCCAATGTGTTCTACTGTCTCTGTTTATTGATTATTGAGCTTGGTCATCTCATTATTGGACCAGAATTAACTATTGACTCACTTTTACACAGTATGGAGCTTTGTGGCTCTAGTAACTGGTTTCTTGGTGACATGGGATTTAATGTATGTGAAACATAAACTACCCTTTCAGCAACAACTCTTATATTGTTTGGCTAGTTAGCAGAAGCAAGAAAGCAGGCCAGTACAATGAAATGACATTAATTAGATAGCATGTAGAAAATGGTACTTTATCTTTGTCAATCTCATTATTTTTCTATCTCCAAAACTACTATCCATTCATTTATATTTCAATCATGCAGAATTTAAAAGCAAAAATACATCATAAATTAGCCATGAGTTCATAATCTGAGTGTTGACAACTGAAAATATCAGTTTGCAGGGAGAGTATAGAAGTATAGATGTCCTGCTAGGTTGGCAGGAGCTGGGGCAAGGACAAATTATTAGAATACTGCTCAAGTGTCATTGAAATTCACTACAGATAGATTTACTATCATATAGGATTTACTATAGATAAATGCTCCCATGGTAATCAAATAAACTGAGGGATTTAAGAGATTGGACCAATTTGGATACACTGTTAACAGGTCGAAAATAAACATGATTAGAAAAGGCTGTAACCATAATTTTAAAACAGGGAAAACAAATCAGTTTTGCAAATGAGAGGTCAGACCATAATGTAAAATGGAAGAGTTCATAGTTAAAACCCAAAGAAAAATTATACTTGGGGAAAGAAGCAATTTTATAAACAAAAGAAACCTGAAAGGAAAACACCTAGATAAAGAGACCTGAAATTTGTTATCAATTTTGCCTCCAGAAGTTGTGAATGCTCCAACACTGGAGGCAAAAAAGATTTACAAAGATGTTGTATAATCATTTCTCTGAAGTGATGTAGGGTTTCCCTGCCTAGGCAGGGGGTTAGACTAGAATACCTCCAAGGTCCCTTTCAACTCTGTTATTCTATTCTTGAAACCCAAATCAGAAAGACTGATACATACCATATACAGTATTTTTTTTAAAAAAGTCCATGTTGCTTTTATTTCACTAGTCCTTGCTGACTCATCTTTGTTTCAAGGCCATTGAGCCAGCATTGTTTAAAGACATTTCCGCAGTCATGTGGCCAGCATGATGTCACAGAACACTGTTACCTTCCCATCAAACTAATGCCAAGTTATCTAGTCACATCTGCATGCTTTCAAACTGCTAGGTTTGCAGAAGCTGTGGCAAGGATGGAAGCTTATCCCATTGCGCTCAGGTCTCAAACCTGGGCTGCTAGCTTTGCAGCTGACAAGTCCAGAGTCTTAACTGCTGACCACCACAAAACATATGGTGAGATGGTATTGGCAAGGATATGCTTAAAGTGCTCTTCAGGTGAGAATTTCTAGCCAGTGTGTTGACTTACATAAATCTAGCCTCAGGAAAAAGCCACAGAAAGCTTACTCCCAAATGAATACTCTCTTAAATATCAGAAAGTATTCCAAACATTTGTGTCTACAGTTTGCTGTAGACATGTGTATTTAGATGTAAACCAATAATGCTATTTTCTTAAAGGGTAAGCTTCTTGAAATGGGGAAAAAAGAGGAAGAAGACATTAAATTATGAGATAAAAAATAAAAAAGGATATGGATCCTATAATTAGTACTAGCTCATTACCCTTTGCCAGCATTCAAGAATCTTTACTTTTGCTTGTCTTTCCACTGCCATAGTAACGGGGGGAAGAGAAAGAATCAATTGGACTTTGTGGGAGGGAAGTGTGCTGGAGGCTTTAGAGAACGAACTGTAAAACTTGGGGAAAACTTTATTGTTTATGCTTACTGTTTATGCTTACTGCGCAGCCGCTGCATCTTATCAAACCAGGCCAAGGCCAACAGCCAGATGTCTGCATCATCACCTGAAGATGCCTCACATGACATTATACACATCTCAAATTGGATGGACTGTTCGAACTATTGTGGGTGGTAATGCTGCCATGACTTTGTATACGTGATTTCCGCGCCTAAATTCTCACATCTCGAATTCTTTTGATGTTACCACTTGATTTCCAGTAAAAGTTCTTTTCTCTATAATAATGGAGTCTAAGAGTGTCTTTCTTGGATTTTGAATGGAGCACTATCTGAACACCCTTTTTAATTCTTGAAAATTTTACATTATTCTACCACAGGCATACTCTGATTAATCGCAGGCATAATCTGATTAATGCATGTGTAGGGATGTGTGTTTATATATGCATTTTCTTTAAACTACTAACCCCTCTCTTTTAAAGATTTATCAATACCTTCCAGTCATGGTCTTCTACTTTCTCTGTGCCCATACAATCTTATTTTCTAAATTTGTTTTTCAATTCAATCGTGATTCAACAAACCACTTCAACATACACTTTGGTACTGGTCACTCATTACATTCATTCATCACCCAAGCATTCATGACACTATCTCTTCTTGTTTTGCTATGCCTGATTTTTGATACATTAATTTTCAGATTTCTGTTTGTCATTGTTAGGTATAGCCTACCTGTGCAGACATTCTTATTATCAGCTAACAACTTGGCATTATCTGCATGTATTTATACTCAGAATCAAGACACCTCTAATATTGCCACAAGCATTCCTTGTACATAAAATAATGAAGAGGATATCACACATTCTTGTCTTACTGTCTGCTCAATATTGAAGCATTTAAGAACAAATCCAAATTATTCACACACAATTACATCATGTTATGATTTTAAATATTTATAAACCAAAACATTCCATAATGTAAACATATTCTATATTTCTTCTAAAGTAGCAAATAGAGTTTAGAAACCTTTTTTTTTCTTTTTCACATTCATACATTTCCTAATGTCTGAAAGCAAAAATATGAATTTAGTTCCCACTGCATGGAATAAAGCAATTGTGCTTTTCCCAAAATTTGCTCTTTTTCACTTCCCATACCATTCCTATCAGAACTTAGAAATCAGACACCCTTAGCAAATTAATCCTCATTTTAGCTTTATCATTTATATTTTATGTATTTCACCATAGATAAGGAACTAAAAATGGCACTCTTCCAGTGTCAGGCTGTAAACTGTCTACAGATTCGCTTTTAAGATGGGAAGCTATAGAAAAGTTTTAAGTAAATAAATAAATTCAGTAAATTTAAGTAATTAAGTAAAGAAATAAATTCAGGTGCATATGTATTCGTCAAGCAAACATTTTAAAAATTGCACAGCCGTCTCAAGCAAGTCACACCCTTATTTCAATATTTCTCCAGTTATATCATCTATATTTGAAATCTTACCTATTTATATATTCTCACTGCATTTATGACTTTCTCTTTGGAATTTATTTTATCTTGTTGAGTAATATTTATAGCTTCTATACAAGTGTGTTTTCTATATATGTATGTGTTAATGTATACTGGATATATATGTATGTATATGTATGCATGTACACACACACACAATTCTTCATAATTCCACTTTTATTTTAGTTTTGCTTACTTCTTTCCTTTTTTCTCCATGTCCTTTATTCTTCATGATTCACTCGATATTACCCCAAAATGGTCTGTCTCATATTTAGAACCTAGTATCTTTCTCTATTTCTCCATTTATTTTCATTATAAAAACTGAATTTTAGTTTTAAATTTATTCCCTTATCAAATATACAGAGGAAATGACTTGTTTATTGAAAACAAGCACCTTTTTGCTAAGCATCACAAGCTATTTAGCAGAAAATAATTTTAAAAGAAGATTTATTATTAAATGTGATGGGCTATGGCAAGTATCAGTTTGTTAAGCATTAGTTCAGAGTAGGAATATTGCTTTCTAGGTTTGTAAATTAAACCCTAGGAGTCAAAGTCAATACAGAATTATTGAACAAAAAAGTATCATTTCATTGCTGAGTGGTAATCAGAGGATTGTACAGCATTCAGTTATTTGTGATTACACTGTTAGAACAGTCACTTTTATATTGAATGACAAAGCTCTTGTGTCCTATAATTGTATAATACAACTTATCATATATAAATGAAACTCTGTAATAGTAAAGCTTCGTTATTAAAAGTGATGGCTTACTCAAATTAAAATCTAACTTCCACTACTGTAGTTTGCAGTGTAAAACTGGCATAAAGCACTTCTTGCTATTAGAAGTATTGATGCATTTAGTTTTTGCAGAAATTTAGAAACATGAATCAAACAAGTAAAGAAATTTTCATAGATCTCAGGGAGAAGGGAAATTTGGCAAGGTTGGGCTTCTGTCTTAAAGTTTACTTACATATCTGTGGTCACAGATAGACATACTAACGTATATATTTGTTATGATCCTTTTACATGGTTTTTAAATTCTATCTAACAGTGCAAGTACATCACTATTAGATAGCAAT